CATGATCAAGACTAGTCTGCCTAATTTGCTATAGTCATCCACATCAAGCTATGCTCAACGTAGTGGTAGAAGAGCGACAAGTATTAGCCTAGCGGCCATGTTATGATGATGACTTACTTTCATACGCTTGTAAAAAGGCATTATAATCGTCGCCAACTTGTTCTAACTTGATCTTCTTGCGTTGTTGATGGCCAGGGCGCGAAATCGGCTGTTTATGACTCATAATGCAGTCTAATAGTAGAATGCAACGGCCAATAAGAAAGTAAAGAACCAATTGGAATGGTCCAGTTCAACAACAACCACTAACGAAGGTGGAAAAAGTTCAAGCAGCTGGCTGCAATCACCCGCCAAATGCAAGTTGCCCCCTGGAAAAGAAAATGCCAGTCATGCATCCAACGACAACTCTTCTACTGCCAAATCATTTCTCCCTCTCGACCTACCTTACCAACCACAAGTTCAATCATCCACCATGAACCAAGAGGTAAGAACGAGGTGAATTAAGATCCAAATTGGCACAGCAAGATTGATTTGCAATCTTCACCAAGCGTCGACAAGCAGCTAATGCTAATTCCACCTGGCCAATTTGAGCATGGATTGCACCGGCCTAGTTACTACGGTTACAGGAGGGCCGAGTACCCAGAGAGATGGAGGCATGGAATATCCTATACGTTGTCATGCTGTTGGAAATGATGACAGTGGCAATAAGACAATTTTAGTGGTGTATTGGATGCCATGGTAACAACAACACAGTGGTATGGTAGAGTAGACTGACGTCTTGCAGGTCACCAATAGCGGGAATGAGGATCGGATGGAGGTGATGCATGCCCATAGTCAAGGCTATAGCGTGTCCGATACGTTGCTCAGAGTACAGTATTCAGTAGAGTATTGCACGAGCAAATCGCTTTGGCCAACAAAGGAATCATGGAGGGCCTTATGGACAAAGACTTCTTGCACGCTATTTCTTTCCTCTTTGAGGCCATTTCTCTCTATTCCAGCAGACTTTTAAAGGTCTTGATCAGGCTAGAAATGGAAAGAAAGCTCTGTCCAATTAGGGCCTATACTTTCATGCAGTTCGACGTTGATGTTAGTCATTTATGCAGGCCCATTGGGGACCAACGAGATCCACAAAATGGCCAATACTTTCTTACAAGCTGAATAACATCAATTCTACCTTGGTGTTCATCAATACCTTGGCTTGATAATTCTCTAGCAGACTAGAACAGGTCTTGTTGATCAGGCTAGAAATGGAAAGAAAGCTCTGTCCAATTAGGGCCTATACTTTCATACAGTTCGACGTTGATGTTATTCATTTATGCAGGCCCATTGGGGACCAACGAGATCCACAAAATGGCCAATTGGGTCAGTAGATGGCCAATACTTTCTTACAAGCTGAATAACATCAATTCTACATTGGTGTTCATCAATACCTTGGCTTGATAATTCTCTAGCAGACTAGAACAGGTCTTGTTGATCAGGCTAGAAATGGATAGAAAGCTCTGTCCAATTAGGGGCCTATTCTTTCATGCACTTTGACGTTGATGTTTGTCATTTGTGCAGGCCAATTGGCGACCAACGGGATCTACAAAATGGCCAATTTGATGAGTAGATGGCCAATACTTTCTCACAAGCTGCATAATTCAATCCTACGTTGATGTTCATCAATATGATATCCTTTTCCTATTCTAGTTTGAGTAAAATAAATTGTATGTGGAAATTCGAACTTTCGAATGGGATAATAGGGCTAAAATACTCCCTTCGCTACCACTACAAATTGAAATGATGTACTGCTCATTTCCACTCGCAAAATCGACATAGACGCCACATTGCCTATCCATAGCGACTAGAATTTCTTGCCTATGCAATGACTATTTCCTATTCTAAATCAATTCAATCTGGAAATTTGAGGTTAGACAAGGCCATAAACGATATGACTTAGATAATTTGTTGGCTACCGTTGGAAATGGGGATTTTAAATACGACCTATTTCCTACGCAAATTTATACCAATCCCTTATATAAAATACGGCCATACTTTATGAGAAGTTGAATAATATGAAACTATGACTTCATATTTGCATTCTGTCTAATTCCTATTCCAAATGAACTAGACTTGATCAATTTCAGATCGAAACTACGCCATAGATAATAGGCGACTTGATCAATTTCATATCGAAACGAGGCAATAGATAATAGACGGTTTGATCAATTTCAAATCGAAACGAGGCCATAAATAATAGGCGATTTGATCAATGTCAAATCGAAACGAGACCATAGATAATCCGTGACTTAATCCATTTCAAATCAAAACTAGGCTATAAATTAAAATGCGACTTGATCAATTTCAAATCGAAACGAGGCCATAGATAATAGGCGATTTGATCAATGTCATATCGAAACGAGGCCATAGATAATCCGTGACTTAATCCATTTCAAATCAAAACTAGGCTATAAATTAAAGTGCGACTTGATCAATTTCAAATCGAAACGAGGCCATAGATAATACGCGACTTGATCTATTCCAAATCAAAACTAGGCTATAAATTAAAGTGCGACTTGATCAATTTCAAATCGAAACGAGGCCATAGATAATACGCGACTTGATCCATTTCAAATCAAAACTAGGCTATAAACTAAAATGCGACTTGATCAATTTCAAATCGAAACGAGGCCATAGATAATACGCGACTTGATCCATTTCAAATCAAAACTAGGCTATCAACTAAAATGCGACTTGATCAATTTCTAATCGAAACTAGCCTATAGATAATATGGCTCTGATATTTTGTAGGCTATCGTTAGAAATTCAATTTACATGCTGTCTATTCGGCTCGTAAATCTGTATTAAGCCTTATAAAATGCAGCCATACTGTCTTACAAGTAGGACTACCATTTCCTACTCTAAATAATCCGATCTGGAAGTTCTAGGTTTAGACAAGGCCATAAACAATATGACTAAGATACTTTGTTGACTACCGTTGGAAATTCAATTTTAAATGCTACCTATTTCGCACTCAAATCCATATCAATCCTTATAAAATATAGCCAAACTTGAGAAAAAGTTGAATAACATTAAACCATGCGTCTTTATTAGCATTGCGTCTATTTCCTATTCTAAATGAATTAGACTTGATCAATTTCAACTTCCTATTGTAAATAAATTTGATCTGAAAAATTCTAAGTTTAAGCGAGACCATCCATAAACAATATGAATAAGATGCTTTGGTGGCTATCGTTAGAAATTCAATTTAGATACTGCCTATTTCGGACACAAATCCTTATGAATACGGCTATCCTTTAAAAAAAATTGACTAACATTAAATCATACATTCATGTTGGTATTTTATTCATTTCCTATTCTAAATGAATTAGGCTTGGTCAATTCCAAGTCTAAACTAACCCATAGATAATCATAATATAGCCGAGATACTTTGTAGACTAGCGCTAGAAATTCAATTCATATACTCTTTATAAGGCTCGTATGTCTATATATAAAGACTTATAAAATGCGGCCATACTTTCTGTAAGTTGAACGGCCATTCCTATTCTAAATGAATTCAATCTGGAAAATTCCAAGTCTAGACAAGATCATAAACAATACGGATAATATACTTTATTGGCTACCATTCGAAATCCAATTTAGATGCTGCCTATTTCGGACTCAAAATTCATGCAAAGTCTTATATACGCGTGTAAAATGCAGCCATACTTTTAACAAGTTGAATGACATTTAACCATGTATTTATACTAGCTTTATGTCCATTTCCTATTCTGAATGAGTTGGTTATTAATAATATGGCTAAGATATTTTGTAGGCTACCACGAGAGATTCAATTTACGTACTGCCCAGTTCACTTTGCAAATCCATGCAAAGTCTTATAAAATATGGGTATACATTTTAACTCTCTGAATGACATTTATAATCCCTCCGTTCGCATTAACGTGATGTCTGTTTCCTATTGTAAATGAAAATTCCTAGTTTAGGCTAGGCTACTGCTACAAATTTAATTGAGATGCGAACCGAAATAGACAACATTGGCCGCCTTATGACATATGTAAGACTATAAAGGTGATCTTCGTGTGAACGTGCCATCATTTAGTATTTGCCTAATAAAGCAAGTAGGACTGAATTATCGTGTGTGTTACTGGATATAACCATTGCATCAGTAGATACATAGTAAAATTGGACACTATGGATAGGGCCACAGGCAGTCTACGTAAAAGTTGAAAATAATTCTTAACGCTAATCTATATCGATTTGTGGCTATACGTAGGCATGATTTAGAAAATTTTCAAAAATAGCATTCAATGGACATTACTAGCCAAAGAGAACTTGTCTAATGTTTGTAAACTCTAATCAATACTAATTTAGAGCTACCTGCTTGTGGAATTCAGGAACTATTCAAAGGTACGTATTGGCCGTTACCAAGAGAAGATGTCAAACATTTTTAAACGCGAATCGATACTGACATGCAGCGACATGGGTGTTGGGTTTAGAAGCTTTACAGAGGTATACGCCATTATGGAATGAATGTTACCCGCGTAGGAGAACATATCCAATTTTTCTAAATGGTTCGAAATATTGGACATTACTTATGTGTAACATAGCCATGCTTGGAATTAAATGCTACGAGATGGCTAGGAATATAGCAAGTCTATAGTATTTCTATACGATCCAAATGCCAATCCAACATTTTGGCTGTGATATTCATATTAAATTCAAAATGTCAACAAAAAAGATCAAATTCTAAATTGCCGTTATAGTTTAAGATAGTAAACGTGATAAGGTAATTGATTTAGAAATAGACAGTTGTAATAATTGAGGTAAAATTGCAATATTCAACCGATAATGGATTTCCATTAACGACTGTGTCGATTTAGGTTAAGTACTCTGCAAAATACCTGTAATAATCAAAATGACGGTTGTCACACTTTTATGCAATCTGTTAGGCATTAAGTGGATTTAAGCAGGCACATAATATATTAATTAACACATATATATGCTCTAGAAGAATAAATATAATTACATGTGTATAGAAAAAGACTATATTACGGTATAGGAAATTATGAACAGATTGTACAGGTGGAGTTTGGCACAAGTAGATAAGGAAGCGCATTTGTACTTAAAAAGGTAGGAGAGTAATTTAAGCTGGAGTGGAACGACAGTTGAATAAAGATAGCTTTGTAATATATTACCTAGTAAACTTCTAGACTGACTCATTTACTGTTGACTAAGGTCCTTCGCGAAGGTAGTAAAAGTTGTGACACTTGGTAGCAGATTTACAATACGGTAGAAGGGTTTTACAGGTAATCATAGACGAAGAATTTATTATAACTAACGAAATTGATGACAATTACATAGGCCAATCAATACAATGCTGGTCCTTTAATGATCAGTAACAGTAAAATGCCAGCGCACAGAAATATAAAGTAATTTTATAGTAGCATCTAGCTGGAATGAATATCCGTCCATCTCTAGTTCATTAAAATTTCGCTTTTTGCAATACACATAAACAAGCCCTTAGGAACACTAGGTACTCTAGCAAGAGTATAATTTTATCTGCTCTTTATTCCAGATAATATCTCTGGTTTGACACAATGACGTGATAAACTTAGGGGGAAAAAGTTAAAGAAGGGGGTTAAAATGCACTGACAGATATACTCTTAGTTGGTATTTGTAGGTTATATGGTGTGAGCATCCACAACTTATAACCAAGTTTAATATCATGCATACTATATGCACTCTTAACGACTACACTCACGTGTGTTGCCTTCTCACTATTCATTAAATCGGCGTATTGATATCCAATTATGCTCTTGGGTAGGAATAAATAAACTTACTTCTAGCATGCCACAAAAGATTTTCGATACGTTTAAAATATTGAACTCAGCCATCAATGGATTTTTACTTTATGACTGCAGTACAGTCATGAGCTGATTTTTGCAATATTTATTCGAGGGCATAGATACATTTCATTATAAAATATCACGAGAACTAGGATATAGTTGTATAATTACGCTTTATTGAGGCAATAGCAACGAATAGCTCTGCTCATTGTGCTGCATACGAGTACGAAGCATATTTAAAAAAGTTAATCATAAAACAAAATAGTAAAATATATCATAGTATAAGAGTATTATACCGTATTATTGACATATCTGAACTACTTTAATCAAGAAAAGACGCTAGATAAGGTAATTTAGATGCTATGGTATTGAAGAGGAAGTTTAATGAGAGTAGATTTCAAAAACTTGTTGAATAAAGATATAGGATTGAAAGAATTATAGAAAAATCGTCGTTGTAAATTTAGGCTATATTACGTGCATGCTTTTGCAAACCATACCCGATTTATAACAATGCAAGTTCAGACGTAAAATATTTGCAGATCAGACTTTATCAATGAAAAATTATTCAACGCTTTATTTCTATCACTGTATTATGTTTGAAATGTCTAATGGCATATTACGAAATATGACATTGAAATGACGGGATATATCATATGTTCAATAATTCGTCGGCCTTGGGGACCTTAAATGAACTGAGAGTAATTGCTGCTTTGTACGAGTATTAATCGCTTATAATACTATTACCACATTATACTCTGCACAGAAGCTGCTTTATTGATCATAATAATAGGACTACTTACTACAACGCACGAATTAACCTATACTGCTCGCTATTCAACGCGTCTTGTCGATTCCTTTTCGTAAATCTTTACGCTACGAGAACTTACTTTACTTGATAATCTGCCATAAGAATGCAGGACTATATGTATTTCCTTAAACTGTAGTAGGTAAAAACACTGACAGTATTCCGGTTCGCTTCCATTAAACTACAGCAGGACCGAAGCAATGAATCGTAACTTTAAAACATTGCATAAATAAATGAAATAATTTATTTTGTTTCAATAAGTAAAGGTTTCATTATCTTTATAGTATGCAATAATTAGAACCAATTTAAAGTTGAAAAACGAGTGCCGTAAACGTGTTCAAGACTGTCAAGGCTTAGAAATTTTTCATACAGAGTTTAGTTAAATTTTTACATACCAAATCACATCGCTATTGCAAACTAAATGGCTTCATACTATACGAATATTACTTTCAAAGCTAGAATAGCGGCAAGTTTCTTATAATATAGTATAACACATTCTGTTCTAGAATATTGACATATCGTAGCACTATCACGTTGTGTAACAGAATACTACCATTTACTAAGACGATTTGACGCCACATAAGTTAATATAATGTTTAAGTGAGCCAAATTTAAGTATTCTCAATTCCATTTAAACATTGTATCTTTCAATTCAGTAATGCATGACGTTATCACTATGAGTATAATATGCAGGCGACTTTCTGATATCGACGTCGTTCTCTTAATAAAACAAAAATTCTTAAAACGTATTATACATCACTAGTAATTACTATGAAAGCAATTTATTTCGCTATGAGAAGCAAGTTACAGCGGAGCTGTAAGATTTTCCTATAACTTTGACGATCTTAGAATCATCTATTCATAGTCTAAAGTCTCTCGGTGATAGAACAACAGATAACTATAATAAAATTAGACAATAGAAATTTCATCATGAGTTAATTATTAAGCAGATTATAAAAATCTACAATAAAGCATTACTAACCCTTCGCTCGATAATACATCTTTTGTTGTAGCTTTCCGTATCTTTGCGTCATCACATTCAAACCACTAAAAGATAGACAATAATTTATTGATTAATAAAATGCCATTTTAGATATACCGTATTTCAGAGAATCAAAAGTCTACATACCTGATTATACGGTTGTCGAACGTAACACGTGTAATGTCCGCTATCTAAAGTGCCACTATGATTTATGACAGCAAACAAGCAATACCGAACACTAGAAGAAAGAGATAATTATTTAATTCTACCCCTAAACCTATGTACAGCTACGAGCTGGCTAACCTTGAGGAACACGATTTTGCATTCTGGTTGTCTGCGTGACCAGATTCTCCGTTGTTAATTCTAAAATAGATCATACTAATCTTAAGAAAGGTATATACCACTTTATCAGTTTAAACTGTTTAAGTAATCAGCATACCTTAATTTAGAAACATAGGGCTTCATATCTAAGATATCTGAGAAGGCAACATAGGTTGTAATTTTTCTACCAAATTTCTTAGAGTGTTCAAATCGCTACAATTTGGAATCAAGGCCATAAAATTATGAGCTCATTCAACAAAGTAGGATATTTATCCGCTTACAACAAAAGTGTACCTTTAAATGAAGACACAAAACTACTGGCAACTTCTTCATGGTGAGTTGTTTGGTAAATTCCTTGATATCAATTCATTAATGACTATATCTCAGTACTTCAATGTAGAATTACCAAACCTTACAAGTATTTATTTACAGAATATTCATGGCATCGATGACATTTCAATTTAGCATGATCTAGTGTTTCGGCATGGGTGAATCTGTACATTTCATAGCAAGTTAAAATAAGGTGTGAAAAATCTCTGATGCATCGCAGCATTACCGATCCTGCAAAATCCAAAGGTAGTCTTACCTGTCAAGGCAGTTTAACAAAGTTACAGATGAGTTCGCACCAGTTTCATAGACAGTCGAAGCTATAGAACAAAAATGAAACAAGAAGATCGTCAACAATAAATTAAAATTGTGAATTAGACAAGTAATCAGAAATTGTACATTTACAGATACGACTGTTTGCTATTTTTTCTACTTCTTCGATTACTATTCAACCATAAGAGGCAATTTAATCAAAATCTTTTAATCTAATGTAAAATATACTACAGCTTTAGTGTACAATATAAGACATATCGTACCAGATGAAAGATCGCAACGTTCATTCTCCAGAGACCCAATATCCATGGAAATATCAAAGAAGGGATCTATAGTTGTAGACGTATTTCTGTACATAAATAAATACAGCAGTTAGATAATCAGCTAGAATTTATTACAAAGAAGACCATATCCAATGCAAGAAAAAATTAAAAAGTAACAAGATATCCTGCAATTACCCGCATTTTTGGCATGTAACATCGGATTGCATATTACCAGCAAATATTTGATGAACAATACATCGACAGTTATTATCTATTATTTCGTTAAATGACGAACTCAATTCTCCTACAAATAAAACAAATTAACATTAATGTGAGAATAATGTTATTTGACTTTTCTAGTGATTTAGTCAATGATTGTATACTTTTAAAGTGTCCATGGAGAGCATTTAGAATAGCAATTAAGAATTCATGAGCGTCTTGTTGTACATATCCAGCCATGTGACGCGCATTTGTCCAGATTAGATATAATAATTTGTTCGGAATATGAGGCAACGATCCAACAGAATAAAACTAAATAATCGGATAATGATAGATTTCATTAGTCCATCAGTAAACATTAGCTTTGAAATCTTTAGCTCATCTAATTACATAGAATTGATTACCTTTTGAAAAATACTGGCTAATTCACAGGCAATGCAAGTATTATTGTTATCATGGCTACATTGGTGTTTATCGGATAAAAAATAATCTCGCAAGATAGGTGTATGAACTAATGCTTGAACTATACTATTCATAAAGCACGTATTGCCTAAATTAGCTAATCCTTTAAGTCCTAAGAAAATAAAAACAGCATTGAAATTAGAAGGTAAGTCCATTCTCTAATGTCGTGTTTGCATTTGCTGAGGCGTCTCTAACACCGTTATTAACAATACAAAATCAAGATGGCATCATATCCGGTACAACAGCATCTTAAGCATAACACACTTATCTTTATTGCAAATATCGATAAATTAGAGGTACTGCCCAAACTTAATGTTTACCTATTTTAGATTTCAATGATAGCTTGTATCGGGTATTATTACGGGAGAGTAACTGCACTTCTTTTGCAGATGGTCTCCAGTAGTTGTATTTGTAGACTTGCTTGAGGTGGCCTACAAAGTATATCATTATTATTGACGATATGAATATCACTTATGCTGAGGTTCATTTTATAGCTATACCTTTGCAGCTTGGCAATTGCATCCTCTGACAGTGAATATTTTCAACATCAGGATCGTAAATATGTTTACCGCATTCAGTGCAGAATAGTGTACCACGTAGTGTATCAATGGCTAATTTAAAAGTTTATAATAACAAGTAAGCAAAGACGAACATAAATCTAATATGCAGCAACAATGTCAATTTAAGCTGCATAGATTTTCTACGCGATATTAATAAATTACACATTAAAATGCTATGCGTATAATCCTTAACAATTGAGCTAATTTTAAAGATACAGAATTACTTGTATTTGGTGAAAGATTATGAAAAAATAATTAACTCGTACGATTACAGTATCGCTCGTGATGTAACATTACATTCATTTATTGCAAATAAACAAACCTAATTGATGCTTTGCGACTTTCGCATGATGCTGAATATGACTATGATCATAGCAACCGACGAATACACATTGGACACAGGCGTATAACCTCTTTTGGTATTTTTTGCAAATATGGCATTGTGATAGAATGACCTTGATGTAATAGAAATGATTACGTTATTTACGTGTTTCAAGTTATTATTAATTAATAGACAAATAGATAATTGTATCCGATCACACTTTTCAAAGATAAAAATGTGATGTAATAGGGATACCATATAATGCAGCATTACTATTAAAATTCAAAGACATATTAAATCAAAACCCCCAAATTAACAATCCATAGTACAGTATTAGGGGCATTGAATCACGAGTAAGATTGACATGACTTAATCAATGTTGTCCATTATCCACAGATATAATTACCTTACAAACAAATAGGTATGCACTAGTAATTGTTTAACGATTTGGTTGATAATCGATAATGGAATGATTCTTTACGTACTTATGCGTTTTTATTAATAATTAGGTTACGTTCGTAACTTTAAATCGTAACAATTTGCATGGCATACTGTATGCATTAAATCACTTTTCATCGGCGAATGTATAAAACAAGGTAAAAGTAATGATCTAGAATCCCTAATAACGTAAACAAGTCTTAGTATGCTCGTATAAATAACAATTAAACAACTATACTGTAACTTTGTCTGTAAGTAGAATACGTAGAAATAGAACAAACTTTGATAAGCTAAATATCCTAGATAGTATTGCAAATAGTCTTTAAAGTACCAAGTCGTATAGCACTATCAAAAGCAATAAATGGTGATATTCCGGTTGGTGAAAACTGTCTCATTATGAAATGTTATCCAAGTATGCTAGAAAACATCGAAAAATATATAAAGTAGCTTTGATACACGCATTTCTCCAACTTTAATGAAAGCTATCATGATAGTCGTTGCAGTTATTAGATTGCTAACTGCACTATTCATGAAATTTTGCTTTTAAATGCAGGTATTATAAGCTATCTTACTACCAAACATTTTCTGATATCAATTTAAGGCATACAGCATGAATCACTATGATTGGCGTTTTCTTAATCATTATTTGATATTAACATCTTTCCGATCGCAAGAGTCGGTCGCACTACAAAAGCTATAACTAGTGGATAATAAGTCTGTCAATAAAACTGAAAATAAGTATTGTACTATATACGAGTATGGCAACTGGGGAACAATAATATCTTTATTGCGATTCCCAATATGACAACTTTACCCGATGGATACCTATAATTAATTCGCCTACAGGACTTTGTAGCAATAAGGACTATACGCACAGTTTCAATCAATCTAATAACAATGCTAGCCATTTCATAAAGTGATGATAAACTACAGTATGTTAAAGCTATCTCTTTATCCACTTGAACTCCAATTAATTCGCCTTCGCATAACATCAAAATTGTTCTATCCTAGTAGAACCTTCAAAATTTTCAAAATATCCTATGACCAAGCATGTTGGCAAGCCAACCATAGAATACGTTTTTATTTTCTGTAGTACAGTAAAACGAATTGATTGATTGATGCGATAACGTCTAGTGCTATTTCCAGTGCAAGATATTTTTAATTGCTATTGAATGGATTGAAGGATGCAACCATGATCAAGTTTACGTAAAACGTTTAAATCATAATACGGTATCCCTATTATTGTCATTGAGCTTTAAGTCATGGAAAGGCTAAATGTTGAACGTTTCCGTAAAATATTGATTACTGTTTCTACTTAGAATCAATAGAAAGATGCATTGTACATCAAATACGGAGATGATTTCAAACTTGTGAAACCGGTCGATTACCTTGCAGCGTATCGTAGTGTAGTCGGTTAGATATACGACTTGGTTGGAATTGTGCGAAATACGCTACGATCCTGATGAAATGAGCAATATAGTATATTGTAATAAAGATAACACAGCTAAATCAATTGACATCTGAAATTGAAAATATGTACAGTAGGTGTAGATGGGCGCTATAAGTTTTCATCCAGTTGCTCTCAACTGTCCTAATGAAAACGAAAGACTGCAGAAAGAAACTACGCTATGATCATGATGTCATAGGCAATCCAGTCATTGTAAGAAAGATAACGCAACTTGGATAGATCCACTCTTAAAATTTAGTCATGTCTACAGCAGGTGTAGACGAACAAGATGAGTTTATATCGAGTGTTATGGTAGAAAAACAGCTGAACATTGGCGATCATGTCAGCGTCAAATAGATGATGTCTTGTCTGCAATATTTGCAATATTTGCCTACGCATCCCCCAATAGTATCGAATGTTTCATACCACCGAATGTATTGTAATCGTTGGATCGTTCTCATTCTGTAAAATTGATTAGAATACCTATTACAAGTCACAACAGAGCATCAATGTTACCTTTAAATCATTATTAGGTGGAAGTTGGCTTGTAGGAGTAATAATTTGCGAGCTTATAAAACGAATTTGTTCCAAGAGTTGATTATTCTTCAACGTTGCAACATGAGCGCAGGTAGCCATGGTGAAGGACGGACGAGTCAACCTCCGGTCTCAACTGGCTCCACTTTGATATGCTACAGCCACAACAACAAGACCAGGTAACAGTTTCAGCCTATGTAGTCTACTGTATTATGCACGAGAGATTGTTGGTTGTTTTTCTATCAAGATGGCTTTTGCAGAGTCAGTATGGCGCGAGCGAGTACAGAGAGCGCGGTAATAACCGTACCGTACCGTACCGTGCCGTACTAGTACCGGTCGGTGCCAAGGCACTCATTCATAAACCCTAAGTGAGAAGTCCTTTTAATGATCCACTGATGCAGCGCTCGAACAGTACATCAGTTTGTAGAGAAAAGTATGAGAACGTGATGATGAAAGAAAGACTACGGGGGAAAGTTGCTCAACCAGGGCATGTATACCTCTGGTAGCAAAAGGCCAAGGAAAATGGATGTTCATTATTTTAAGGGAAATAAATGCAGCTTATTCATTTTTAATTTTTTAAAGGTGAAATAAAATGGACCTTCATTATTTTGAGGGGAAATTACTGTGGTTCATCAATTTTAGGAATTTTTTAAAAGTCAAAGTAAATGCACCAAGTTGTCATTATGCTGAGGAGAAATTAATGTAGCTCATTTAATTCTGAACTGCTTAAAGGTTAAAGAAATTGCTCTCTCATATTCTTTTGAAGGGAAATTAATTTAGTTCATTAATTTTAGGAATTTTTTAAAAGTCAAAGTAAATGCACCTACAATGTTGTCATTATGCAGAGGAGAAATTAATGTAGCTCATTTATTTCTGAATTTTTTAAAGATTAAAGAAATTGCTGTCTCATATTCTTTTGAAGGGAAATTAATTTAGTTCATTAATTTTAGGAATTTTTTAAAAGTCAAAGTAAATACACCTACAATGTTGTCATTATGCAGAGGAGAAATTAATGTAGCTCATTTATTTCTGAATTTTTTAAAGGTTAAAGGAATTGCTCTCTCATATTCTATTGAAGGGAAATTAATTTAGTGCATTAATTTTAGGAATTTTTAAAAGTCAAAGTAAATGCACCTTGTGTGCTGTCATTATGCTGAGGAGAAATTAATGTGGTTCATTTAATTCTGAATTTTTTAAAGGCTAAAGAAATGACTCTTTCATATTCTTTTAAAGGGAAATTAAGGTAGTTCATTCGTTTCAAATTTTTATCTCCTCATTCTTAAGGCATTGATGAATGAATATACCTGGACTGTAGATAGATTATTTCTACTATAGGCTAGTGTATCGTCAGTCTATTGCAAAACGTTGAAATGTAATAAAGTGTTCAAGAAAATGTACCTTCATTAGGGCTTGGATTGATGAGTACTGTATCTTGCTAAACGTCCAAATTGAAAAGAATTCAAGAAAATACACCTTCATTGATTAAGGCATTGATTGAAGATTATAGTCATTAGAAAAGGTTAAAATCTGAACTATACGAGAAAATGCTTCTTCACATGAAGGCATTGATAGAAGGATGAGTCTAATGCAAAATGTTGGCATCTAAATTCTAAAGTATACTAGAAAATGCACCTTCATGAAGGCATTGATTGATTGATGAGTAGAATGCAAAATGTTGAAATCTAGCGTACGCGTTTATCGATTTCAAGTCCATACACCTTCATTCCTTCATTCATTAATTGAACCATTGATTGATAGGTACAGTAGAGTGCGTCAAGTTGGAATCTAAAGTATTCTTTTAAAATACACCTTCATGAAGGTATTAATTGATGGGTACTAGTATCATAGAATATTGAAATCAAATGCACAGTATTAAAGTAAATACCATACACTTTCATGATGGTATTGATTCATGAGTATAAAGTAAACAGTAAAAATCTAAAATATGAAAAGTCAAGTAAATATACCGGAACATGAAGGCATGATTAGCGGGTTGAATCATGAGCTACTATACTTAAAATAAAAATCTTTTTGAATAGCCCGTGATAGAGTGCAAAAAATTGAAATCGAATGTATTAAAGTAAATACACTTTCATTAAGACTTTAATTCTGTCACTGTGCACAAGTTCCTCCATCAGGGTGTTGATATTGACTCTAGAACGCAAAATGTAGAGTATGAAGGAAAATAGACCTTCATTAATTTTGCAGGATGAGTATCATGTCAGAGTTTCCCAATCAGAACAGTTACAAATGTTGACTCAGAAATGCACAGTCGAAAGTATTCGAGAAAATGCACTGTCATTAAGGCATTGACGACTGCAACAGTTCTTGAATCAGGAAATATGACGCATATAGTGTACAAGTAGTACTGTATAGGAGAATGCCTGCAAGATGTTTTCATCTATCTAAACAGTCCAAGTTATCAAAATCACAGCTGTTTTTCAAAAGTAAACGAAATTATGCAGCCCAATTTTCGGATCTTGAGCAGGTATAGTTGTGATTAAAGTTCATTAACTTCAACGATTTCTATATATATGAAATTGTAACCTACATTCGCTTCCTCGTCTTAAATTATCATGATAACTATCTGTGTTAAGTATATTTATGAGATGTATGTATATTGGTAATATATAGCAATACTCAATCTATTTGACGTCGTATCGTAGAATAGAACCTTCCTGAACCCTTAGTATTTTCATTCATGAAAATCTATATTGATGTTCAAGTTCATGCCCTGGCTCCGCGAAATCATAACACCTGATGAAGGTGAATAAAAACACCTGGTATGAGTATGTGACAGCGGAGCTTTACTTCACTTGAGCAAAAGTAGGTAATTGTATGGAGTCATCGAGTATAGCTAGAGAGATTTTACTTTTTAGGGATTCCTATTTAATAACAAAAGAACTAATCGGAAATTTAGCGTCAATAATTAATTAATATATAATTATTAATGAATTCTGAAAATGGAGCGAGAGAGAGATACTAAATTCATATATATCGATTAGTACACCCCTCGCTGATTTAGATATGTACCGGTATATGCGCATAGAATTAGAATTACTGTAATCATGCAAATTGCTCCTTAATTTAAACAAGCTAATTATTTAAATAAATAATATGCGTATTAATTCTATCTGATTCTGTCTCATTCACTAGACTTCGCTTCTTGATTACTATACTATTAGCCATTTCTTATGTGCTACTGAAAATTCCGTCGATAAATTGTTGATAGAATTGACCACAGGTCTAGTGATAGTAAATGGATCGAGTGTACGTAGCAGGACAACGGAAACCGGGAGATCTATTCCTAAAAAATATTAGACAATTCCGCTGTAGTAAAATGATTAATGTGTATATGCAAGTATATACAGTATTGCACGCTAATGGAAGAAAATTGCAGATTGCAGGGTAGCGCTCAGCCAGACTCTGCCCGATACTCAACGTACTGCAGCTCGCATCGTGTATGCTGTATATTGCATATAGTCACTAAGTAGCTCAAGTCGGACAGCGTAGGGTATATTAATTAATCACTGCAGTCAAGACATGCAGTAATAAGATGCAACATTGTATGGTATTAATTTCACTTTTCTAATATCTTATTATTGAAGTAGTGCATCCAATTTTGATTTGAATTCATGATTTCATTTTCTCCCAAAGTACGTCTCGCAGCCTTGGCTTGCTGAAAATTAGCATCATCGTACTAAGACGATTATATAAGAATAGTAGGACTAAGTCGAAAAGAAATCTACGTGAAAAGGTAGTCTGGATTACTGGTGCCAGTTCCGGCATCGGTGAAGGTAAAAAGTATTTTCGATCATATAGCACCATGACTATTATATCGGACTTACTAGAAGAATAAGTTTAATCTAGTTTCGTAAAAGACAGTATTTATCCTTATGATATAATATGCCATGCAGAAGCAGCCTTAATGTTATGCTTGTGTCCATTTCTCGTTTGCAATAAAAATTGGTTGTTCCCTACGTGTAATCATGTAATATTGATATACCTACGTACATAGTTATCTGGCGATGACAATTTCTTTATATACATGACGAAGCACATATGTGTAAATGTATTGTGAAATTAAAATTCTTCATCTTGATACAGAATGTGCCAAAGAATAATATGCCAATGGAGCCAAAGTTATCATGAGCAGCAGGAATTATCAGGCTCTACTTAAAATCAGAGATAAAATGGTCGCTGGCAAAGATATCGATACAGAATTAATACCTCAAATTCTTCCAATAGACCTTCTGAAATCTGAGCAGCTAGAGAATGTTGCTGATAAGGCTTGGTCTATGCATGGTGCTATAGATATCCTTATTAATAATGCAGGAGTAAGCAGCCGCGGTTCGATAGCTGATTCAAAGATGGAAGTATACCGATGATTGATGGAAGTAAATTTCTTCGCTCCTATAGCTCTAACTAAAGGTATGCAAATATCTATGTGTGGTAATGCATGTACATATACACAATTACTTTGATAGCGGGTATACACTATCGAAGACTGTGAGTTGTATTTACAGGCACATTATAAGTATGGTAGTACTTCCATATACTTGTGAGATTTTTTACAGTTAAGCAACTGTAGACAAGAACTACTCAGTGATTGAGTGAGTTCTACGACAGTAGAATCAGACAAATCTGTGATAGGCATTATAAATAGGAAGGTTGCAATCCTATGACAATGTATCAGACCTGATATTGCATTGGGTATTTACTACTAATTCTTGTAAATGATATACAACCCTGCTCATACATCACAACACTACTACATAAAGAAATACAACAGACATTTTCCAACTGTTTGTATCTAGTTTCATGGTATATTTCAATTTAATTGCATTATACGGCTATAACTCTCCAGTAATTTATTGTTATTTATTTTTCGCAGCTCTATTACCAAAGATGATCCAGCGCAAATAAGGCCAAATATTTTTAGACCAGTGTTAGGGAAAATGGCAGTTCCATATCGATCAACATGTAAGTTGATTAGAATTGAGAAAATCAACATTATGTTGGCTATAGTCATTCTACGCTGTTTAATCTTGTCCAATAGCGAGTCATAACAATTTGCTAGTAGTATCATATTCTATATCCGTATAGTGGAGTATACTTATTCGGGTAATATACATATTATTTCATGAAATGATGGCATTGCCATAGATGCTGCATCAAAGCATGCTTGTTAGGCATTTTGTGATAGTTTGCGCGCTGAAGTTGCTCAAGACAACATCAAAGTATTTATTATAAGCCCTAGATACGTACGTACGAACTTATCTTTGAATGCATTGGCGGTTGATGGATCTAAAAAATGGAGGTACTTCTTGTTTACAAATCAGTCTTAGCGTAATGATGAGTGATTTTACCCTTATCATAAGAAGTAAAATTGTAAACTGTTCTCTCATTCTGCAATTGTATTTGTTCTCCAACTGCCATAATAACATTAACAAAATTCGATATCCACCGCTTGGTTAGTTATGGATAAAGATACCGACGAGGGAATGGCACCGGAGAAATTCGCCGCTGCAATGACTGAATATGCTATCAACGAGGAAAAAGACGTAGTAATATGTTCGTTAATTCCGAGACTAGGAATATTTTCGAAATATTGTATTCCTAGTTTACATTTTTGGGTAATGCGCAATCGGGCTCGTAGCAGAGCTCCCAATAAGTAATCACTAAAACTATGGCGGTTAGTTTAACAACCTCTCTTTTACGATCGCGTTTCTTTGGCCAATTTTTCGATATAAATTGATCGATGACATTCACTTTCATCTACTCATAAAGTATTCCTTCAAAATGCATACTCGTATATAGACTTGTTGTAGCCTCAAAAACAACTCATCATCAAGCAATAACTCAGTATACAGAATTACGTTTGTATTTCAGACATCTAGCATATCTAGGATTTAGTTAATAGATTAACAAGTAACTGTTTAAAACACTCAATAAGTAATTAACATTTATTATTGAAATAGCTATAAATTCATCAGCCTTGATGGATGAATTAATTAAGATTAAATAGTTTACGGAAGGATTATAAAGTCATATAGGACTATGCTGCAAAGTTTATCAAAAATAGTGATTAATGAAGCTGCCATTTTTTATGCTCTAAAGTAGAGTCATTCTGCAGATCGTTCACTGGCTAAATACTAATACTCAACACTATTTAACAACTTTAAGTAACGGTTTGAATATTTGGATATTGTGCCCTTCTGCACGTTATTGAAATATGCAAGTACTCTTTGCTGATCGATTTTTCTACAGAATGAACCCATACCTGAATATCAATTGGAAGGATTTAATTGCAGTAGGCAAGTTTTAGGTGAAAAATTTTAATTCGTTTTTTGTTATATAGAGTATGCATAGCCAGTGAATAAAATGCAATACATTTTTAATTTTGTCCTAGTCGTATTTTATTCTTTGAAGGTTTTATTACAATATTACGTGCATGTGAATATTTTATCAGCGTACAGTATGATGCAAGATTGTTAGTCATACAACCGACTCAAAACTAGCAATATACTCTACAGTCTATCAATATAAATTGCATATAGAAATTCAAATAGAGTGTAACTATCCGCGAAAGAGCGTTGCGTAGCTGTTCAGTTTTCAATCCAAAGCAAGTATTCTGGCATATTTTACGACAATTTTTATTTAAAGGTTAAACATCATACTCGTCAAAATTAATCGCGAAAGGTTGATATTGATCGATTTCAACTTTCTGCATTAAAATTAGAAAGGGAAAATCAATAAAGCCAGAATGAATGATTTTGTATTAAAAAAAGGTAGAACTCAAATTTTAGAAAGCGTAAATGAACAGTTTTATACTTCAAAAAGTGAGAACTTCAATTTTATAAATACCGCACTATGAAATTTGCTTAACTAGAAATAATGGATTAATTTTAATGGAGCAAAGTTAGATAGCTGTAAATTCATTGGCTATAATCAATTTTACAAGTATGGCTAGACTGCTGAAATATCATGGAGCTGCATAGGCCATGATAAAGCTGTCAATCGATAATAATAAACATAAAAAGTATTCGTTCTTTGGAGTGTTACACTAAAATGTACTCTTTGTTCAGATCATATCATGTACCTGGACAAACATTAAGTAGCTTAGAGTACATGTCTACGATTTTTGGATAACTTGTTTTTTGGACAAAAGTTTGGCATATAATTAATCTCAGTATACGATTAAATATTATAGCAATGTGTATTCACCAGGAACACAGATCTAGATGTACAAGTACTGATTAGTTAGGAATTGCTTGCGATTGAAAAGGGTTTGGTATATATCACGTAAGATGATGATATACTACCGACTGATAGAGAAAACAAAATTTTTGGAATGGAATGATTTTAAAGACATGACTACACAACCATTCTCATCATCTAATCAGCAACTACGTAGGCAACAATTGTTGTCAAGGTAAAGGATATGTTTCGAGGGAGAATTTTCGACCCGATGCTTAGTCTCGCCTATGAATGAATATCAGTGCAACAGGTAAAATCGTTATTCGAGAAAATAGAGTAGCGAAGTTACTACCAATTACTAATTAATTGAATTATAGGCAGTATAATACATGCTATCCTATCGTGAGGCTATTGGAATTAAAACAGAATTGTAAAAGAAATCGATGCCTGGAATAAGTTGATATTCGAAATATTTCTCAACTATTATTCTGATGGTATAAACAAGGATTATACTGGTATATTGGAAAGAGATTTCTCGGATAGTGCAGTAGAGTATCCAATAACTGTCATTGAGACACAGTGATATACTCGTACTATAACTTTCATTGATCAAACATCGCTACTATCCGGTACTTGTAATTAATTCATTCATTATTAGATAATGTTTATATAACGCGATGTTATTATTTATTTGTATCCATGTCAGCCAAAAATTGACAGATAATATTCAAACTGATGCTTACAAAACTAGTAATATATTACTCTATCCTAAATATAAGTATTGTTAGCTGCCAAACGGCAGAGATGTCGATTAGGGCCTTACTGATAGATGTAATTTATCATCAAGAGATTGTAGCATATTTCAAAAGTTATCCTGATCACAGACCTTCTTAAATATAGCCTTCAAAATGAATTCTCGGCTTGCGTAAAATCGTAGGCCTTCACTGTAGATACCCAAGCTTAATAAGGATCTCAATTTATCCTGGATTTGGAGTTACTATGCAGTGAGATATCCGATACTCGACTATGATATTGTACTGTCTAATTTGCGTTATACTATACACCAGAATTTCGCAAAAGTCCCTCTACTACAATATCTATCCAACTTCGTTAATTACCCTATAATGAATTAAAAACTGCTTCATTTTCTATATATTTTGGTTTAATCTTGCCGTCTTACAGTACATGAAAGAACTCTGGCGTCATATTATGTCTAGGCCTCCAATTTGAGAGTAAGAATTAATTGCTATCCCAATCATTGACGGGTATAATGGACGTCGTCTAGTCAGAGACGAGTAGCTGTCGCTCCGCTATAAGGCTTTGTATTAGTGTGAAGGTTGCGTTTGGAGCAGTAGGTAACAGTTGGTTACCGGAGGATGAAATGGTGTAAAAAGAAAGTCGCTAATAGAAATTAACATGAAATCTTTTGATGGCGTGCCCATGGCAGTCAAAAGTAAATAATAAGTGGTAGTGAATACGGTGTAATACAGTCTGCATTCAGCTACCAGTTGGTCATTTCTTGCAGCTAAAAACCATGTATTCGATCTTAGCTCGAATTCGCGATTTCATCTTTTCTCAAAGTGCATCTCGCAACTTGGGCTTGCTGGTTATTGGCATCATCGTGCTAAGACGGCTGTATAAACGACTCAATGCTAAATCGAAACGGCATTTGCGTGGAAAAGTGGTATGGATTACAGGTGCAAGTTCCGGAATCGGTGAAGGTAAGTCTTATTTCGTTTATGGCCACTCTCCAGTAGTCTTAAGTAGAAAGGCTTGTGGTTATAGCTGCAAGATGGCAGTTTCCTTTTGTAATAAAAGTATTTTCTCTCCTAAAAATGATATCCTATACTCGTGCACTTCTCCTACTGCATACAAATACGGCTGTTACGCCTGCAGAGATTAGTTTACGAATGATTGCAGTTCATAAACAGCGTTTACTTTGAAAACTTTTACTACCGTAGTAATGGCTGATTAGCAGTGGAAAAAGAATTTATTTTCATGAGCGAGAATATCTCCTTATAGACAGTAATCATCTCCAATTTCATTAGCGCTCAAACAACTGTTAGCTTGAGGTAAAATAATGCTTTCAGTTACGCTTTTCTTGTCGCAATTTGGCATCAACGTCAAAGCAAATGGAATAACATCTAGATTATAACTGTAATCCCAATAGCTAAAAACACCATTTCAGAGTACGAATACGAACATATTTCCAACAATTTTGCACAGTAAACATCAGTTAACCAGTTTATTGTTATACCTAGATCGAAAGCTAGCTAAGATGTAACTTTACAAGCACTAAATTGTTTATGTCACCGTGATAAGCAGTACTCTAATTTTATAACGGCTCGTGCATATTACTAGACTGCTTAGCTAGTACTGTACTTCCGAAATAGCTGTACAGTATCTCTCATCAAATCAACCTCTTCATTTTAATGTAGCATGTGCTAAAGAATACTTTGCCAATGGCGCCAAAGTGATCATGAGTAGTAGAAATTATCAATCTTTACTAAAGGTCAGAGATGCTATGGTCGCTGGAAAAGATATCGATGCAGAATGTATGCCTCAAATTCTTCCATTAGACCTTAGCAAAACGGATCAACTAGAAGATATCGTTGAAAAGGCATGGTCTATACATGGTGTGATAGACATCCTTGTTAATAATGCCGGGGTAAGTAATCGTGGCTCAGTAGCAGATTCAAAAATGGATGTATATCGGCATATAATGGAAGTCAATTTCTTCGCTCCTCTAATTCTTGTTAAAGGTAAGTGATTCTGCAGACATGGCAGTGAATATGTGTACTGGAGCAACGTACCAGTAATAAGATTAAAAATAATTCGTGTAGTTGATATTTCTTTCATTTTACGTACCTACATTGAATCAAAATAGGTAGTATTCCAGTTACAGTATATGCAATAGTGTACTTGGTCAGTGACTTATTTTATTTATGTAACTCAGCCATACTGCCAAAGATGACTCAACGAAAAGATGGACAAATAATATTTGTTAGTTCAGTTCAGGGGAAAATGGCCATTCCTTATCGATCAGCATGTAAGTTAATTAAAAAATCAAACTTATTTTAGCCATCATCATTTCATGCTACCCAATTTTATACTACAACAAACTGCAACTCTGCTAGCTGCATTGCTCTCTGCACAGTATAGGATATCTCTTTTGGATAATATACACCTATTGATGATGATATTTTCGTAGATGCAGCATCAAAACATGCCTGTCAAGCACTTTGTGATAGCTTACGTGCTGAAGTTGCTCAGCATAACATTAAAGTATTTATTGTAAGTCCTGGATACGTACGCACCAACTTGTCTCTCAATGCATTGGCTACTGATGGATCTAAACATGGAGGTAATGTCTTGTATTACAAATCAGTTGTTGTTAAATTGCTATTGAACTGCAAAATCTTTTCTATTCTACCATTTTATCTGATCCCCAACGATAATGGTACCTTTTGACATAATTCAATATCAATTGTTTGGTTAGTGATGGATAAAAACACAGCTCAAGGGATGGCACCAGAGAAATTTGCTTCATTATTGGTTGACTATGCGGTCAACGAGGAACAGGACGTCGTAATATGTCCTGCTATTCCCAAGGCAGCCATATTTGCAAAGTATAATATTCCCAACTTATATTTTTGGATAATGCGTCTTAGGGCCAATAAAAATAGCGAATAAAACTGTTAAATAGTTATAGTACAAGTAATTGCTGAATCATAGAATGATTCTTTAACGTTAACGTTATGATTGCTTTTAGGTTGAAGTTTAATTGTAGATGTCAGTTTTTATTTACTTCACAAAATGCAACTCTAAATATACGTAGAAGCTTGATGTAATCTGAAGTTAATTTATACGTATAAGAAACCTTTCCGTCTGTACAATAGTAGTTTTATTCCCAAGATCTGGGATATAGTTTATGTTGGGATTAGATATAGGAATGAACAACTATTGGTAGCGTATTACTAGTATGCTCAATGAATAATAAATTGATTAGCTAGAATTAAATAGTTCTGGTGAATTAACCTAGGAGTCATCATAAATCTGGAAAGACGATGCTAACACTAATCCATAACTTATAATAGTAGTAGGCCTTTCGTCTGCAGAGTAAGAAAGGTGCCAGACCATTTGTGTTCTTCAGATCGTATCCTTGACCAAACGCAAAGATATAACAGTTTCTGGATAATGCATCTTTGGACACATGATGTAACATGCAATAAGCTGTGCTCACAGATTTCTCTACAGCCTTTTACGTGGCAAATATCTGTAATAAAGAAATGACAATATACTGTACAACATGATCTATGAGAAAATTTCCATCTTTGCGCGTTTCTTTTGTCGTAAAGAAGATTTATTATATGAATAAAGTGCGATACATTTTAGAATTTATTGTATGGAATATATAGTTTTCAAATTTTTGCTGTAATACTGCAGATACTACTTGCGGTGTCAAAATATAGCATGATGCAAGATCTTCCTTCATTCAAAGTGAAACATCATTTTATAGTTTATCATTAATAATTACAATTAGAAATTTGCAGTAATGTGTATGTATGCACAAAATGAGCATTACATAAATTGTACAAATTATTTATTGCTAAAGACTGCATTAAACCATAATAAGACGTTTAAAGCTAACAGTAATATCCTGTATAAAAAATTTCTGATCCATTACATGTCAACTGTTAGGATTACAAAGGATAAAGTTCATTTTCCTAAGATCAAGCTCTTAGCCATTTATATAACGTCAAGGCACAGTAGCATGCTGATGCAATTGCAAAGAAATTTTGTAATTTTTTTCTATACGAATCATCTTTTCGCACTAAAATGACAGGCGAGGATGAAGTTAAATTAGGTAAAGCCAATTTGGCCAATTTTAAAGAATCACGTTCCAATTGATATTTACAACATGGATCAAATTGCCATGATAAACCATAGATTGAAGCTGAAGTTACACTAACAGCACCCGACGAAAAGCTAAGCACTTTCCAACTTGTAGGCAAGAAAAGAGGGCTAAATAAGCAGCCAATTCCAGCTATGACTGCAGTTTTATGTAGGCAATTACCAACTGTTATCCAACGTGATGTCTCATCGCCAATACTGGCTGGCTCGATAACGATGACATCATAACGAGCTTCTAGTGCATTTTCTAGATCTAGTTCGAATTGTTCATGTGAATTTTCTGAATCATAAATCTCTCGAATAATGGCGCAGCTTGGCGAATCATTCAACTCGCTATATAGAAACAGTAAGAAATAGTTTTATGAATTTTAAAATGTAATTTAAGATGTTTTTTTCCATTGCATCGATGGAAGCAAATAAAAATGATTACATATGACTAAGCACACTGTCATCAATCGTCTACGGCAATAGTTTTAGTTTAAGAGGAGCAAAGCGATGAGATGATGTATGAATCAGTGACAGACTTGTAGTGTTAGAGTCGATATCTGTACAGTCAATAAATAGGATAGCACTGTAGATTATGTTCATAAGATTAATAACTTATATCAGTCAGTTTAGCAATCTGATGGCCACATTCATATCGGACTCATGTTAATGAAATTTTACGTACATCTACATTCCAAGTTGTTGTACTGAGCTAGTATTGAGCGATCGATCATCTTTCAATTACAACATCGATCGTCCTGCCTCATACTTTGTATCACTTGCAAGACCTTCCATTCTACGAGTCTAAATCTTTCAATAAAGGTCAAACTCTTCCATCTGTATCCTATTTTATACATTCTAATGCAGAGTATCTATTTTTTTAGTAATCTAATGGATACATAAAATGTCATATTCGTCATAGCATTGTAGGGCTATACGAAATATGTATTACGAGTTGTTCTACTCCTATCAGGTTGAGGGTGATGACCGTATTTATTTTCAAGCGATCGACATTGCATAGGCATAAAACCTAATAAGGACGAATTTAAAATCTCCTGTGTATGTTGTGTATAATAGTACAGCCCAATGCGTGATGACTGTATTATTTTCAAGCGATCGACACTGCATCGGCATAAAACCTAATAAGGACGAATTTAAAATCTCCTATATCTTGTGTACAAGAGTGCAGCCCTATGCACTCCTGGCTACAATCCATCAACGTAGAAAACTGAAAATGTACATGATGCATGAAGAGTTCTTGATCGCAGCTGTAGCCATTCACAACAACCACCGCATTCTTTACATCGTCAAGAATAAGTCGACAAGGTGTCTTTCCTCATCATGACTTTAACATGATAATATCAGTTTAACATAGAGACGAAGAAATGCATTATAATGATATCCACTATCACTAGACAACTTACCTCAAGTCCTCCATCAAGGATGATCGAAGAAGAAGTCGACGAGTAAATCGATTTAATGTTCAGTAACTGATGATGATGATGGATATGGCCAACGGCTCGTCCGATTTAAATGTCTTTACCCGGAAAGCGTAGGGTAGTCTACCGTAAACGAGGTAACATTACTAGGTACTAACGTAATTGGTGCTCTCCGTCGAGTCTAGTACTATAGTGTTTCCATGATTCCACGTACTGTATGGGGGAATCTTTTAGCAATCCCCTCCGAACATCCGATTATAGGGTGAGTTTTGAATTGAACGCATGCGCACGAGTAAGTCCCATTACAGAACAGTTCATCTAGAGGCTTTAGGAATATCGTATTACTCTGTGTAAAATAAGTGTCATTAAAAGTCTTGGTGTTGCAGTCCAAATAGCCTATCACTTACGACATTAATTTTACTTGGGTGTATTATACCCAATTATAGATAGGCTGCTGTTTTACTCATGACGTATTTTGGTAGTAGTCCATGGCATTCCATGCAATACCGTGCTGTTTTAACTGTGTAGGAATAGCCCTAGGAATAGACTGAGAAAGTAGTGTTAACCTCCCATTTGGTATTGTGGTCCTTGTTCCCTATGCCAACGGCATAGCAAGAATGTGCAAGTTGAACTGTGTAGTATGGTACCTTTCCACACTGTTCCATGGCGTAGATCGATGGGGAATTAGGGATGCAGTGTACCTACTGTCGATACGCCAATTTTACCCCGAGATCCGGTAACCGGTAAGAAAGAAAGCCTCATGCAGTGCCATACCACGTTACCAGTGACTGGAAATCTTTCAGAGCAATCAATTCATTATTATCAACATATCAACATGAAGAAAATGGGCTATTTTGATAGCATGATGAACACAGTCAATTATTTACGGACACTCTCTTCCGCCTCCTATGCTAGCGTTGAGCTGGTGCTGCTCGCTGTAGCCCGGTACAGTACCGGAGGGTTACAATGACGTCACATGATGCTATGGCTGTACAGTGTCCAGTGTACAGTACAGCTGGACAAAAAGATTGTACTGTACACAGTACAAGTGGTCTTACAGTACAGTCCTACTCTACAGTATTCCCCAAAAAGTACTGTACAGTATTATCGAAGACTGACTGAACGACCAGTACTGTACCGTACCGTACTGGTCTTCTGCTGCATAATTGGTGACTGTACACTTGTACACTGTACACTGAGTACAGTAGAATGTCCATGTACATGACGTCAGCGATTGAACCAAGAAGGAAAGAATCGTTGACTGACTGACTGACTGACCGACTGATGTTATTCTGCACCATACAGTACAGTATTGTACTGTAGAAGTGTAGTGGAGGCAGTTGGAGGAAAAGAAGGAACTGTACAGTACAGTACACTGTGTACAGTACTGTACAGTATCGAAGATTGACTGGACGACCAGTACTGCACCAATACCGTACCGGTCCATACCGTACCGGTCCGCGCTCCATAATCGATGACGTCAGCGATTGAAAAAAGACAAGAAGCGCTGACTGACTGACTGACCGACGGATGCCCTACACCGTCAACCATAGTAGACTGCTAGAGGAGGAGGAGGAGGAGAACCAACTGTAGAACCGTAGAGAAAGCAGTTGGAGGAAAAAGAAGCAAGTTGCAAGCGTGAACATCAGGATCAATTCTCCATTTCAAGCACAGCCATCACTAGAATACAAGCGTTCAAATACAGTGCAGTTAGCACCAAGTAGTGCATGCTCAAGGAATCGCAGGAAAAAGATGGAATCACTCTTTGGAACCAATCCGTTGTCGACACCGATCGGTCGCAAGATTGGTATGTATTGATGGAGATTTGTCTATAGGATAGCATGGATCAGGGATGATGTTGAGGATAGCGTATAGGCAGTAAGGTCTGATTTGAGGTAGAGGAGTGTTGTTGTCAAGACGCTGCCTTAGCAGCCGGTTACCCTTCCATCTTGCTGACCTCTTTCACCATAGTAGGTATATGTATTTTAGCTACTGTACCATACATAATACTATCGGGTGGAAATCAACCACCACCATCATGACCTCTATTGGACATAGCAGAAGATGGCGCCGCTTAATTTAGTAACTACTCTTATCCACTAGTTGCAGGCCTATTTGCCATCGATTCACTTGATTGAGAAGGCTACAGTCCAATTGGACAGATCATCTACTCTTGAACAACGTTCGAGTGGATGTCCATGGTGTAGCAACACATTGATGACCCACAGTCTGATTCCGACATACCGTTCTACAACTTGCCAATGCATTGGGTTCATCCTTGAACTCCAATGGAAAACCAATCCAACGATAGAAAGCCAAATCGCATCATCATTCTCCTTTTCTTTTGCCATCGTCATGATTGACAATCATGGAACGACTGAAAAGGAACCCTTATGCATTCAAGCTATCTTAGAACAACATTGACGACCATCATTCAAATGGCGTAGAAGAAGAAGGGATAGGACAGGATGGATAGCGTCTGTTGTCGATGGACAAACAATGCTAAACTTTCAATAAGGCAAATCCATCTTACCCTTCTTAACAAGCCAAATGAAAGGACAACATCAACTTGAGTCTATCCTAAGCATGCCAGGATACAATCATGATGATTAGAAATTGGTTCTATCCTGCTAGAATGTTTTAAATGAGACAACAATGGTTTTAATGGATCAGCGTCATTGTTGTTTGTACCATTGCCGTGAACTTTTACCGATATGCAACATCACAAGATCCATGTCTAGTGCAATTTTCATCTCTCTTATTGATTCCAAGACTTTCCTTCACCTTACTCAATCATGGAAACGATTGCACTACCATTGAAGGAATACCAGAGAAACCATTGCTAGTAACAACATTACAGCTAACCTCCAAAAGTTTGTCAGTGATTAAATTAAATAAGCATGTAGTTAGCCTTGGACATCATCCCACAGCATGGAGTCGAATTCGTTATCTCATCTTAATAAAAAATGGTTTGTTAGTCAATAGGATGACTGACTTAACAGATCTGTCTCCATATCAGAAAGTAGCCAGTATCACCTTGATCAATCCTTGCACTACTGTGACCAGACCAGTTTGGATGTAGTAAAAGTAGTCATGATGCATTTTTCTCCTGGCCTCTACCGGTAAAAATATCAGTCAATAAGAGTATCTTTCCATCCCACTTCTCTGTTGACTTGACATTTTCTATAGTAAATCCATCAACTCCATGATGGATAAATACATCACGTCATCGTTTCCCATCCATATCGTCAATATGGTTACTTGTCTGTCTCTATAAAAGTTGATAGTAAACTATATGAAAAGTCGATCAATCATCTAATCGATCCTTTCGATACTTCACGTCGGATAATTGCAGTTTTACCATAATAACAACGCCTTTACCATATCCATATTAATCAAACACCATTCGCTAACGCTCATACGTGTCAGAAAAAAAAAAATCACCGCTAATGCAATCAAAATACCCAACTTGATAGAATGATATTCCATCTTTAGATAGGAATCTTATTACCCAACGGACGGACACACTGCAAACAAATGCTCCAATTTCTTGATGCAGTCCGATCAATCCTTTGCGCTATATTAAATGTTAATGAATTAACAAAATCATGCTTACTCTGAATGCATGTGTAATTGAGCAATATTATCATCCATTTTTGGGAATAGAGCGTGCAACCGATGACAAATTATCAGAAATCGATTGGGCCTTGAATATGGAAATTTGTGATATGATTAATACATCTGAAGATGGGTAAGTATTTGTATATTTAGCGTGGTATCCTTTGATGTTTACTGAATGTTCAAACTGTTTACAAATCCTATAAAATTGCTCATCAAATAGTCTATGCTGAGTCGAAACAGTGATGTGCTTACTTTGAGGAAATGCTCGTTTGCAGAAAATATCTTGTAGTAAAGTGGAAATCTTATATTTACTTCCTCTTAATTTAATCGTCTGAAATAATCGGAGAACATTTATTTATCGGATCTAAACCTGCATTCTACGAGATATCGTCGATTCGCTGGCCCTGTTCTCCAAGTAGCCACATAGTTTCTAGTTATATCCTTTAAAGTGACAAGGTGCCACTTTTTTTTATTCATTGATGATATATTCCTACACAAATTGTAACGAAATTGATTGCATTCTGGTCAGATATTCACACTGTACATGTAGGTACATTAAGTGGCTGAAAAAAGTGTCGTTCAATCATAAATAACATATTTTGTCAATTTTTTACCCAATACAGTGCATTATCACTGTCATGCAATTTAATTTAGTATGTTATGAAAACCAATCTTTGAATTATCTTTCTACCAATTTGTAAAATAGATTTTGCGGTAATTGTATCATTTGATGATAGAATTTTTCAAATCCGATTCATTTCATTTCGGTATCATATCTGCCTATCAAACACCTAGCGTTACATCAAGCGTTAATTTTTGTCAATCAATGACCAATAAAATCGTCCTTCGATAGTGCTCATAAAAGATATACTAGACGCGTAACTCATCCAAGCTCTACGTTTCGCAGTCAGTTCGACTATAAATATAGAGATAATATGCACACTTTTCTCGTACATTAAGTCACCTTTAGACTTGCCTCTTCGTAGCTTCTTTTTTATGACTACGTGCAATTAAATTGAAATGCTCATTTATAGTGTTGCTACATTAATAGGTTCATTTTAGCTATAAGCTATCAACAGCATCTTCAATTGAGTATCTTGACCTCGCGATATGACATAATATCTTATTCATCTAAAATGTTACTCTATCTACCTATTATGATTGTTTATAGGCCACGTAATGCTATGAAAGCCGTTCGGAGGAGATTATCAAACTATAAAGCTAGCCAACAAATTATGCATTCATTAACTCTATTAGAAACTTGTGTCAAAAATTGTGGTCAACGCTTTCACCTTGTTGTAGCTCAGAAAGAATTTGTTGCCGAATTAAATAAGATGGTGCAAGCTAGGGTATGATTCTTTTTGAATGTTATCATTTGGAATCAAGTAATGGTTGCATATTTCCTAAAATAGACCAATAATAAATGCCGACATTTAATTTAATACCTACATTGTGATTGTTATCGTAGGGTCAGCTATCAACCGTTGTAATTGATAGACTTCTTGGTTTAATACAATCATGGGCTGATGCCTTTCAAGGACAACCTAGTCTTAATGCTATTGTCCATTTACGTGATACTCTACTTAAGCACGGTAAGTTGCACGGTATTTGTTGGACAAAATTATCCCTTTAGATAAAGTAAAGAGAAGCGCACGATACAGCATCGAATTATTGAAAAACTCTAGCAATTGCTAATACGAGTATATCAAACCTTCCAATTGCACCACTCTAATAATTCTAAACTTGCTACATTTAATAGGTGTTGAATTCCCAGCTCAAGACCTGGACTCGATGTCACCAATCTATACGCCTGAAAGAGTATGTTATTACCGTGTTATTTGCTTACAAATGATAAATAATAATTCAACTATAATAGCGTAGATTTATTCCGTAAATGGAATATGCACCAGAATGATCGTACATTTTAAAATTTAAAATACTGCCACAATAAATAATACATTGCATATACGCTCTTAATGAATAGTCTGTGCCTGAGAGACCACCACAACCGCAACTACAACCGCAACTACAACCACAACTACAACCACAATTACCATACGCAAGCCCAACCGTAAATCCTCATGATGTAAGGAAATATCATTCTTATCTGTCTTCTGTTTACATACCCATTCAGAAAATTATAAATTCCACTGTACAATATTAACATGTTTTGATCTAATTACAAAGGTTGGTATCCCAGCTGAACCGATCAACCCGAACCCTGAACAACTTGCTAAACTGCGTCATGAATTAGATATTGTGTCCGGAAATATGGAAGTTATGAATGAAATGATGACCGAGTTATCAGAATCACGCCCCAATGAATCAGATTTAACACTCCTCAACGTGAGTAACCACTTATTCGACATAAAGTTGACATGGGTATGTTAAAATGTGAATGTCTTACCAACCTAGGAATTGAATGCCACATGCCGAGAAATGCAGACACGAGTCATGGACTTAGTTGTTCGAGTTTCAAACGAAGAATTGACTTGTTAGTGCTAAAACCCATAATTCATATCTACGTCTGTTTTACACATGACATTCAGTAAATTATCGCTATTTGTTTCTAGCGGTCCTATTAAAAGCTAATGATGACCTAAATAATGCCTTCGTAAGATATGACCGCTTCCAACGCCAGCAATCTACCATGGCAACTTCGCAGCAAGCACAACACGTATCAGTAAGTAGCAATCGCATTCTATTTATCAAATTATTCTAACCGAAACCTAATTATTCGCATATACGTACAGCAGCAGCTGGAACCTGTGTCACCAGCAGAAAACGTAGCTGCTACGGAGTAAGTTGTACAACTGCAATGGCCAAAGAGATAGTCTAAACACGTACTTAATTGGATAACCTTTGAATGCAATAGTAACCGGTGGCGTCACAGCCAGTTGTTTTAATCGATTTCATTGGTTCTTTCACTTTCTATTTTTAAACCTTAAAGGCAACCGCAATCCGACTTGCTGATCGATTTTAGTGAAGCAGGATCCACTGCGGCAGCTGCACCAACTAATACAACTAACCCTGCGTTTCCGGATGTTTCATCGCAATTATCGTCTTTATGTACGAAAATATTAGTTATATATAGATAGACGCTATTATAGTGCTATGTATGGTATTGATTACTGATGTCTTAGCTAACAATAAAATCTGATCTCTTTATGCCTTTTATTTACTGTTAAAGCTCTTACCTCTACTGGCCCTAATCAGCCTGCTCCAGTTCCGGCTCCTCAACCACAATTGGCACCAATAACGGCTGATTTGCCTTCATATAACATTGCTATTTCTAATCCTACAGCTAGCCCAATTGGGGGTGGTTCAGTACTGCCTCCGATCAATCCAGCACAATTGCCAGTGAATACTCAAGTCAACCAGCAAGATCGTAGCCAAGCTTTGGCATCATTTGCAAATACTAAATCATCATCATCAGAGTTAGCAAACTTTAATCAATTCTAGTGAAACACGTATAAATGGATATCCTTTAATTAGATCGTGTTAGACCGACATCATCTTTTTATCTAATTGTATAGCACTTCGTATTCTTACCTTTCGGAAATGAGTTCTAAGCCTATGTCTGATTCTCTTGCGTTTGCAATGAACAGCAAGAATCCAAATGTAGACAATACTCCAAAACAGGTAACATTTGTTGTGTTAACTGTAAGATAAATCTTGATACACTTTCTATAGTACAAAAGAGGCGACTGTATGCTACTGTGTACGTAATAATGCTGCTTACTTCTAATCCTACTATAGGTTGCAAATTACGGTTTGACTACGTACGTGAACTTATCTCGCTATGTATCCACCCTAATGGATTACTTATTTCGTAACTTTAGTTTCTATGTCTTATTTAAATAGGAATGCTGAAATTCCCTCAGAACTGGATGATTGGCTAAAGGCGACACATAATAATGTACAATCGATGAATTGTCATGTTTTAATATTTTGATGTTATGCTAGACCTATTCTTATTGGTGCAAATTGGTTACTAACAATTTTTTAGGAAAGTAAACCAGCAGCCAATCCAACACCCGCCGCAACCGGGCAAGCTTCACAACCAGTTTCCAGCTCCGGTAAGGGTATAACACGAATAAATCCTGCTTAGTATCTAATTATTCATTTAAAAGTGGATTAATTGGTATTTTATGCTGTTCAATTTCAGAGTTTGATAAATTTTTAGCGAGTAGAGTAGCCAACGTTCGGCAGCAGCCAGTTGCTGGTGAACCTACCGCTTCTGAAACCAATCCTTCCTCTAACTCACCTCCTAAGCCTAAGCGTCAAATGCAGATGGCGGAAGCTGACAGCGGATTGTTTGGACTTTGAAAGATTAAATAGCCATTATATTATGATAATTATGTTTTTAGTATTAAATGCTTTTGGAATTATTGTAACAATATCCTGCCGTACATACAGTCATCAACCACCAATCCGGCATCTGATCCACAGCTTAAACATTCTGATTTATATGTATGCTACGGATATGCTAGTTTGTGCTGACTACCTGACAAGTCTTACATCTCAGTCCGTGAATTTGGTAAAAGAAGATTATACATAATTCAGCTCGATGTTCACCCTTTCATAATTAAGCACATGGTATATCCTTAATAAACTCTGTTTTAATAGAAACTGTACGTTTGATAATTATAATATAAGTGTTTCTCAGATAGTATACTAGTATGTACTCAATGAAAGTCTTAACTGCTAATATTGTTTAGTAATTGTGTTTTAAGTTACAAAAAACTTCGTTATCGCACTGACTCTTTCTTGTTCAGATTGCGTCACTGCTAGTGTAAGTAGCGCCAACGTTTACGAGTATTTTCATCTGTAGAAATCCATTCGTGTTATTGTTTTATTATTACACGCCTACATCAGTTGGCGCCAATATTCATTTCCAAAGTCGTAATGTCTTATAATTTTAATTAACAAAAAATTATGTTATATCCTAGTTGTAGCTGTAACATTAAAACTCTTAGTGGTACACCAAATAGTAAGATAAAAAGTTTGGTAATTTATTGCAATAAATGCAATGCATACCTTCACTATGATATAACCTTGGCATAGAATTTTGAAAATGGATACTTAATAGTCAATAAAAAGCTCTATTATATCGCGAATAAGATCGTATCATTCTTAAACAAAAGTTTTTAACTTTAATCAAAGTCAATTTCTTTGCCTAATAGTTGTAGGTAACTGAAATTTGTACATCTTAGAGAGAACATTGATAACATTTACAAGTTGTTAAAACACACAAATATCATATATTATCTTCATCAAAATTTGAAATCTAATATTAATAGTACAGTCATAAAGGATATCGGAAAAATAATTCAAGTACTTCATTTATAGATAAATATCTCTAATCAAATAAGTTTTGAGGTAATCAAGTTTGTCATTTACGGCTGCGTGGTTTGTAACAGCAATGATAATGAGGTTCTTTTGCCAATAATCCTTCAAAGCAGAACGATAGCATTTTAAATTTACTAATCTAACTTTCATCTCAGATGGGTCATAGTAAGAATGCAAACTATGATACTTACCCCTGACTCTCTGATTGCAATGCAGGATTAAGTACGGCCGAAGCAACACTACGTAGGCAAGTTTTAAATATCAGTGATGTAGAATATCAAAATTAACAAGTTTGCATATTGGCAAATTATCACTTACTTTGGTAATTGCAGTAATTTTACTAATTCGTTAGCTCTGTTGATGATAAATTCATTGCTATTACCATTTTTGGGCTGCGTTGACTTAAGATAATAATCAAAATGAATAAAATCGCAGTTAGTTCACGAAAGAGAGGAAAGGTACAGTGCAATACCGCAGCCAATACAGCATGAAATTTCAAATCCTAATATTTTCGGTACAAGATCAAGATTTAAGACTTTGCAGAATTTATTTACATAATACTTTCCAATCTTCATTAAGCAAATCTGCGCTCGTTGGATGGTATCGCATCTAGAGGATAACTAGATAATCGTAACATATAATAGATAATAATTAACATATCGAAGCAGATGCATAATTTCTACTTAAGTAGCAGATAATAAAATAATGCTGTACTAAAACGTAGGTAAACATTTGATACGAACTAGATTAATAATACACATGTATGAATGAAAATAACTTTCTAATGTGAAATTAAACATAGAATATCTAATGGCTATTGAGTTTCTAATTATGCCTTCAAAAAGTACCTTTGCTAAACATGTCATAAGCAACGTCACGAATCTTGCAGTAAACTTTTTCTAAACACATGAAGACAATTAAATAAATTCTAAATTCTAAATATAATTATTAAGAAACGTAATCGTAAATAATTCTGATAACAGTGCACCATATTGTAACTACTAACCGAGTCTCCAGCATGATTCAGGCAAACTTCATATGATAAGCTTTCAATACACTATTTAAAGATTTAAAGATTCCGACAAAATGTATAAATTCGGGAAACGGTACTAACGAATTTGAATGACAATAAATCTAAGCAGGTATTTAATCCAGATTTATTATCACTAGCAGATTCAGAATACTGAGAAAAAATAAATAAGGATGTAAATTGACGAACTTCGTAATAAACCAGAACGCATTCTTTCGTACACTTGATGTAATATTGGGAAGAAGAATATTCACCAATAATCCATATCTAATAAATTAATAGTTTAAATTTATATTACACCAAGGACCTGAGTGCAAACCAACTATATTAAGTGATAGTGAAAACATAGTAGTGTAATACAAAAATTACGGTATATAATTCTTACCATATGCATATATAGTTCATTTTCAATGTTGAGAGCATGTTTCGATTGACTAATGTAGTCTAAAATCTCTGCTTGACGATCAACAACAATCCTTGGATATTGCTTGCATAAAATTAAAATTTGAGCTGAAAAGACCCTTCAAGTAATATAAAATAAAAGCGACTATAAGTTATCTATTTTCTAAATCACATTAACCTCTGAAAACTTACTCTAGCACATTCTCTTGATATTGTCTGATCTGGTATAATTGAACAGATCTTTCTATTATAGCGGGAAACAGATCGTGTATAATTTCATAACTTGCTTTTTCCATAATAACTTTGAAGAAGACACTGGTGAATTTGATGAAATAAAATAAAAGCATCGCCAATTGAGATTTCCTTTCTTTTAATAAGTTACAATGCTAAACGACGAAATCTTGTCATCACTCTAGAGAATTAATTGCTTACTTTAATAGAATAGGTACACACTGTGAACAGACAGAAATCCGTGGATGCGTAGAGAACTTTTCTAGTACGTCATGTAATGTATTTAGCCTTTTATACATATAAAGATAACATATTAGGATGCAAATAATTTCTTGCATAATAATTTTTTGACGTGCTTACTTATTAATGGTATCGCCTTTACCACTGCAACATCTCAGGATAAAGGAGAGAATAGGCTCAAATGTAGGAGATATGACAACGCCAAAATCAAAAGCTGTTTTGGTTGGTAAAGTTCTTCCACTTGCAATTAAAACTTGGGCTAGCAAACGTAACTCAAAAGTTAGTAAATTTTACAGTGGTTGTGTACTAGATACAGCACGATAATTACAATCATTTTATTACAATACCTTGTTGATGCATGTGCTTAGCCTCTAAGGCCGCAGATACACACGGTAAATCAATAATGGTATGGAGCATCTACATAAGCAACATATATTCCATTATATTACGTAAACAAGAATATGAAATATCGTAAAGAAATGATTATTAGATAAATGGTTTAAATGACAATCAACCTCTGTTGCTGTTTTAGCAGAAATCATACTAGGAAGAATTTGTACGTATTCTACGAGATATGTTCTTGGAAACCATGCAAATATCTAGTTTTAAAAGATAATAAAGCAAACTATTTACTACGGAATACTGTTAAAGTAATATATTAAACAGAATCCAAAATATTTGCAGTATTCTTTAAGAAACCTTTAAAATATTAGGAAAATAACGTGTGAATACTTCTGTATTCGCGCATAACTTTTCTTGGTTTTCAATCAAAAACATAACCACGTCGAAGGCTAAAAAGGAACTGTAACGTAGCTCGAGTTAAATATATTGAATAAAATAATCATTTGGTAATTACTAGCATAGCCTACTACAATGCCCTTACTACATGATATTCATAACTTAATTATTATTACTTACTTATGAAAGCGTGTATCCAATACTTTAGCAAAAAAAAATTCTAATGCGTCCTTGGTATCGAATACAACAGTGTCACCTTTATAGTTTGTAAATAAGCAGTCGATTTCATTCGTATATCAGATATACGCTTAAAATACTTAAATGTCTAGGGCCTCCATGCCTTACCGAAATTAATGAAAAATTGAATAACAGCCAGTAGCGTCCTCCCCTTATTAACATCTAGTACTTGCTTGTAGATTCTTTTAACTTTGTTGAAAAGGGCGGGAATAGACGACGGATCGCAATCGCAAACATTGTTCATAAGTGTAACCACCTCAACTAAACACTATAAGTTCAAGATTCCAAGATAAGCAATGAAATGCTTTAGCCATCATATAAACTCAGTATATCTATATACATAAATCAAAATTTATACTTCTATCTTAATAGTTGTCTCCTCACCGAAAATTGTAAAGTAGTATCGACGCTGTTTGTTGCTTCTAAAGTTTACAATGTTTGCATAAAATTAGTATTTAGGAATTTTCTTCACTTGCGCTTTCATTATAAATTCATCACACATTTGGAATTACTAAAACATGAGTATGTATTATCTTACTCAGTTCACTTTGATCTATCAGTCGTGAACAATACGTCAATATAATGTCTAGTAGTTTATCTCTACGGTTTTTCTTAGGTGTTAATGCAGATGTTCCGGCCGGCAAATTGGACAGTCGACGAATACTTTGCATTGAATTTTCGATACTACCAGCAGTTGGAGAACTTCTTGACGTTGGAGTTGATGTATTGGAAGTAAATGCTCTTTCCATATTAGATTGATTCGTTATTAGCCATCTTCGAATTGCAGAAAAGGCGTAAATATTTCGTAATTGGTCTTGAGTGAAAAAAGAAGCTGTAATAGTAACATAGCGATATAGATTCAATGATTATTGTAAAAATTATTCTATTAGGTACAAAATGGTTCGCAGATAAACCTATACACTTGTAAAGCGGCAGACTATATCTTATTCTGTATAAGTTTACTAAACCACAATAAAGTTAGGCCTACGAATACGAACTTAAGACAAAAATCTGCTTTTATTACAATATTTAAAAAGGCCTGTGTAAGCTAGTCTATATTACCAGTGCAAAGAATGGTAAAATTTCCGCGTATTTGGCTTCCATCAATTTCTGTAGGTATCTTATTCTTGTTTTAAGAATTCAATATGGCATTAGATGTCCATTATAGTATAATTAAAAGCAGCGATTGCACAATAGACTGAAATGTGCCATCAGCTTGTTGTATCGCCCATTACCTTCTTGTCTGCTGGTGATCTACCTCGTGCTGATTCTATCGAGGTATCCAATAACCATTGACCGAGGACGCTATTTAATTTCTGAATAAATTCTAGTAACATACGTAGATTACCTTCCATTTAATTTTTACTATACGAAATTTGCTAATTATGCATTCCTTCCTTTACAAGATTTATATCAGAGAAGGCGAAAGCATTTCTTTAATTATATATCTATCGATACCTTCAGTCATGAGTGAAGGGCAACTAGTTGCAATAGAAATGACTGTAGTCATAGCAAGAAGCTGAGCTTCTGAAGGAGTCTGGATCGTTACCCATCTGTAAGTATGCAATATTAAATTAAAAAAACAAGCAACAGGTACAAAATACTTGTATGGATTAACAACTGTTGATATGCTATCTAAGACTCAATTAACTCTATTAAAGTGGAAATAGTCGATTACAATCAATGGGGTATGTAAGATCGTTTATAGCTTTTGATAGCAGTTTTGCAAGTTTTATAATTAATAAATTTTTACTTGAGAAGGTGTGGCAAATTTTCCGGCCAATAACCTAAATCTTTTCCCTAACATTAAATGATAATAATAAGTCTGTATTTAATTTCTAGCATTGAAACGAGAGTAAGCTAACATTATATAAGATTTAGTTAGTACAGGAAATGAAAATTTATTGCAAACGTTAGCAATGATCATTAAACAACTTATTCGCCATTTATATTGTACAAGTACATATGTCTAAAGCAAGCAAGTGTAAATTAGCGTATAAATTTCAATAGATGAATTTTATTATTTAGCGAATTTAAAGTCATTAATCCCTTGACAACCAAAACCGATTAAAAATAATGTACAGTTTTGTTTCACTTTATGAGGTGAATTAACTGTTTACTTCATCATTCATTCATTTCTAATTCATGAGCACTAAGCACTTCCGATTGTAGGCTATATGTACGAAATTGTCATTCTCATTTTCGGTAAGCTCTGATTCATTTAATCCTATGATCAATTTCTGTGTGACCAACCTCAGTTAATAATAACGGCAAAACGTGCAGTACATTCCTTTTATCAAGATTTTGGATACTTCTTAAATTCTGCCAATATCTAGGAGCTAATTCATTCAGCAGATACGAAGTTGATAAAAGAACGAGATGAGGAGTTTGAGAACTTTCGGTAATAATTTTTAATAAATATGATAATAATTGACCAGGAAGCCTGTAAAAGGAAATGGGTCTAAAATTTCATAACTGTTGACAACGAAAAATAATTGATAACTAAATATCAATTGCAACATTAATAGCTAAAGCAATCACTAATTAACAATGCCTAGCCCTACAATGTACATTGGCCTAATTCATAGCCCACAACTAGCATAGTTAGGCAAAGACGACATCGAAAATAATCTTGAGTAAAGGAATTCTGAAAGCCGAATGAATTATTTCTTACTCACTTCTTATCTTTGCGAGTCCAAGCTACGATAACATACAGTTGTCGTAGTTTACGTATTGAGGCAGAAGGATTGTTATTCTGTCGCAAGACTGTTAATAGTTCTAGAGAAAGTTCTTCTATCTCTTTGTCAGTCCAACCTCTATTTAAAAAGAAAATTTTAAGTTGATGTCATCGACTCCATTACTTGATATGTGTATGTATTGGATCATAGACATTAGGATTTAACTTCATATAATCAGTTCTGTTACAGAATACGAAGAATGATAGATGTCATTTATAAATTGATATACATATGTATTAAACTATTAACATTAGGCTTTTGTATCGAACGAGTAATCCTACTATAGCATATACATTTGAGCAGACCCCATCTAATAACTTGACGCATGTACATCATTAGACTTTAAGCCTTGAATAAGTCATTCCATTACATCATAGACATAAGAGTCGATCCCATCTAGTAACTTGATACCCGTCTGTAGAAGTACTAAACCATTATCATTAAGCATAAAGCCTAGAATAATCAACCCTAGTACAACCTACACAGTAGAGTAGATCCCTACTAACAACGGTTATCATATTAGCCTCGATGAGCAATTCTCCTATAGCGACACAGCAGAGTAGACGCTTTCTATAACCTGATACGTAGAGCCGATTCTTTAATAACTTGATACATGTACTGTATTCGTATGCATGAAACTATTAACATTAAACTTGAAGTCTCGAATAAGTAATCCTCTTGCAACATAGATAGTAGAGTTGATCATCCTAATAACATGATGTGAGTATGTATTAAACCTATAATAGAATATTAGGCTTAGTCTCGAATAAGCAATCCTATTACAGAATCCATAGTATAGCGGATTCCACTGATAACTTGATACGCGTATACTATTAAGCTTTAGCCTCGACTAGGCAATCCTATAATTATAATATACTGTACACAGCAGAGAAGATCCTCTCTAATAAACTTGATACACGAACGGTCTGCATTAAACCAATAACATTAGGCTTTAAGCATTCCATAAGCAATCCTATTACAGTAGAGGCAGTAGTGTAGATCGCATCTAGCAACTTGACGGATATCTGTATCTATCTACAAGTATTAAACTATTATCATTAAGGATTAAACTCAAATAAGTAATGTTACAACAACCAACACAGTAGAGTAGATCCCAACGAATAACTTGATACACGTCCTCCCCTAATTCAGATTACCACCTCAAGATCACTGCTCTACTTTACGAGAAGTATAGTCAATCAAATTAGACATATTCAATATAAGCCTTAAGCCTCGAATGAGCAATCCTATCGCAGCAGCCTACATAGTAGAATAGATTCTATCTTATAATTGAATAATAGTAAGCTTTACGCTTCAAATAAGCAATCCTATTGCAGCATAGACAAAAGAGTCATTCCCTTCGAATAACTTGATCCGCTCATATTCAACCATTAAAGTTTAGATACGCATAAGCAATGTTATCACAATATCCACAGTAGCGTAGATCGTATCAAATAAGGGTTAGCAATACTCATTCACGACCTTCATAGATCCCTAATTTAGATTATTACTAGAAGATCGCTGATCTCTACCGTACTAATACTATAGTCATAAGAATCAGAAATGTTATGATAAATAAATTGTTGTCATGTTTATCCACCCTATTGGCCTCTCCATTCTAATCAAGAAATCGATCAAAACAATCGCAAATCAACCATCTAACATTTCAGTCTACATCCATATTCATCATCAATGCTATTTTCAAGTTCTACAGCAACATGCATACCTTGCTTTTTGAAATGCAGCATCCACATTGGAGACGATCGCAGAATCGACATTTTGTACTGAAGCCATGGCGAAGAAGGAGTTCAATGAGCAGGAAATGGAGGATTGATGTCGTCATGGGTACAGTATGGTCCAGTATGTCACACGCTTGCTGTTGTTATAGTCCTACTGTACCTATGACATTGCGGAGTGTTTTCAGTATCAATACTGTCTAATGCCTTACAGTACTCTAATGTCACTCTTGACTAGAGCTCTATACTGTGCTCAGTATACCGTAGAAATCAGAGATTGCTATAGTCTATATCCAAATAACAAGCAATGTAATCCAATTTCGGAAGCCTCATTACGACACTAGTGGTTTAATAATGTAGCTATTAGATCATGGCACACATCTATAATATCTAATATTATTTGCAAGCACAGACTGTGCTCTTTAAACCTGTTCGATGTAAAAGAAAGCTTTTCTTTAACATGAATATGTTTTTTTTCTCCGTCTATATCCGAACCTGTCAACGAAGGAAAAATTAGAGATGGATTGAATATACAAGACTTATTAGTTAGTCTTATTCGGTGATACTTTCCATGTTTATATCAAACTTTTATTTAGTATCCAAAGGGAATATAACATCTATTGCATATTTTGCACATTGTAATATTAGATTTCAATCATTAAAATAGCTCTAGCAAGTGTGGCATATATAAGTTGTATGTATAACAATATAACATATATGTATATTTCATAATCAATTATATGTATATATATATATATATATATATATAGGAGGTTATACCCAACCTTTGTACCTGGGTGTATATATACGAGAAAAAAAAATAAATGCGCGCTGGCTGAAATTTCTGAGGTTTTACATCGCAAATACATGCTACTGCTACTATAAATAGTCGATATAACAATCCAATTTCGGATGCCTCACTACAACATTATTGATTTAATGTAGTGATTAATTCATAGCCCACACATCTACAATACTTAATAATATTTACAAGCACAGAGTGCGCTATTCAAATCAATAAAGGCGAAAGAAAAGCTTTTTTCAACATGCACTAGTACAAACTCCCGTCGCTTTGCTGACGGTTTACGATAATGTGCTCATTTAACAGATAGTATTACCATTTGATAGACCTGTCAGAAGTTCAGTAACTTTATACCGTGTACTGCATGCTGTACAAATGTACAGTACCTTTCAACCTCATAAAGACTAGATATGGGATGTAAAATATAGCACATATGAAAGACATCAGACATATAATCATGGATGAATTTGCTTGAATCAATTTCGGACTTTTGAAGTTTTAATTTGATAAAAATAATATTTACTGTAGTACTGTAACGTTAGTATTAACTGTGAGTAAGTGATTAATTGCGTAGTGAAAAGTACAAGTATGGTACAAGAAATAAAACGATCGAGGGTTCTACATGTTAATATATAGTAAAAGCACAAGTATATACAGACTGTATAGAGTATTTGAAATAGAATGAGTTTAAGCTCTACTAGTTCTGCTTCATTTGGTAGCTATCATAATTGCTTACAGTAGATTGTAAGGATTGCACCAATTTATCTAATACTGTAACTTAAGGTGGTAAACTAGACTGTACTACGTTTGTTGTAGCTAGTATTCAGCGATTCCTTAAATGTCCGTAGCACTTTTTTATTTAGTATCCAATAGGGATCATAGCATATACTGCATATCTTGCATGTAGCAAAATTATATTTCAATCTTTAAAACAGCTGCATACACAATGAATCCTCTTTAATGCTATCATGAATACGAGTAATGAATAAAAATATTAATATGAATACCGTCTTGTGGAGGATAATCATGGTTACAACAGATTTTTTCAGCCAACATTTAAAATGAGCTGAACAAAAAATACATGTTTATAAAAACAATTAATTCTATCTGATCTTCATCAGAGCGTTTTGATCCGTATAATAAGCGTATAGATCGTAGTGGTGATGAGAGACATAAGAAAAAGACAATCAGGATTACCGAAGTAAAATGATTTGGTCTATTATGAATATTATAGAATAAACATCACCATACTAGAATTAGTATAAATAGTAGAAGTCCACTTCAAGTTTTTTTCTTCAATATCAGTCATTATGAATAAGTCACAGTGAAAGCTAGTTGATCGAAATTGAAAAATTCTAATTCAAGTGACGAAGTGTATTGCATATAAGTATGGCATGTACAGTGAAAATGGCTTTCAAACTGTTCATTAAAGTTATTATACACGTGTGACAATTAATTAATTATTACGTCATCAATGATATAATTTTGTTGAGTAATGAATCATATGTTAGCACCTAGCCATTAATTAACTAATATTAAATGTCATAGAAAGTGTGTTGTGATTCTTGCTACATTTAGCATGTAGATTTGGCTATAAATTTATCATTGTATTGCACCAACGAAGTTTGTGAGACTATATAAAAGCCTCAAAGTTGTTAATTGAGAGAGTTGATAAGTTAGTTGATAACAGATGGTTATCAGTGGTTAGCAGTAGATTGTAAGTTGTGAGTTCAATAGGATATTTTAATAAATAGCTTTTAGGATAAAGTTTGATTCTTGGCGTGAGTATTCTATCGTCGAAGACTCGAATCTAATTTTGGTAGATTAAAGAGTGCTTAGGATTAGTTGCTTAGATAGTTAAGACTACTTTAAAGGAAAGAATCCCGTTAATTTTTGTGTTGCAATTTCGGTTGCAACAACACGGCTTGTAATATATCTAACATAAGATGAAAGACAAGAATTGTTGATTTATTATGCTGAAGAATCTCTTTCAGCCATTTGATTTAATTTTCCTCTCATTTCAGAGCTGATTTTCAGTAAGTGATTCATTTGATTCGCCATCATTTCCATGCTGAAATTGAAATGATAATTTAACGTTAATGAACTGATAGTAATCTAAGGTACAATTTGATTAATCTGTCTGTTTATACTATTAAGATAAGTTATAGCCTTCTACTTTATACATTAAGAATGAAAAATATCCTTAGAATTAAATATTATACAGGTAACTCTGTTCATTCATACCCTCTCTCTTGATTGGATACAATTTCTCTCAAATCACGCAATTCGTTTTCTACTGTATTGCTTTCTTCCACTTCAGTCACATCTTGGTTTTGGTAGAAATGATTTTGAAGCTAGAAAGGGTATAATTTAAATTTCTGAGTAATTTTATTAAGCTCTATATCAATCACTATAACATATCCTATATTTCAAAACTAATCATATCCAATCTAGTTTAAGATACTATCAAGCCATCCTCTACAAACTTATCCATAAATTACGATGGATAAAAGCAATAACCAATACTAACTCTAGTCAGTAATCCCAGCGCTTTTTTTTCCTCTTTACTGATATAAAATTTCTTCCTCAGCACGTATGGTAGTGCATTTTCAACTTGATCTATGAATTGCACTTGAATTTTCAAACGACTAAGAACGGCATTTCTTTCAATTTTATCGATATCGCCTACGGCTAAACCAACCTATGGCACAACGGTATAATTAATCTGATTAATGAATGACTGCTAAATGAGTACCAAACTCCGGTGGTAGATTGATTATGGCATAGTAGCAAAATATCAGTAGTAGTCATCAAAACATGATTCATCTATTCTGCATTTTATTTACCATAAGATTCATGGCTGCGATAGGCATGACCACCGCGACGATAATCAAAAAGACAAAGGCAAGAATATTAAAGGGATACATGGTTAGATGTCCATTAACTGGGTTAAAGAAGACTTCTATATAATCTAATTCTCCCAGCATCATATCGAAAACTTTGAGGAAAGAATATGGTGCGGTTTTGAAAGGATTCTGTTATGATTGTCAGAAAAAAACATATCTCTTAGCAGCTTATTAACAAAGATTAAATCATTCTTATAGAAATGTAACTTCAAACATTTATTTACCAGATGGCCCAGGATAATATGAAAGCTGAGTCCAAATGCGACTATTAGGAATATCAACATCACTCCCACCTAGCGATCATGGATGCAAATAGAATCATTAGAAGAATCAATCTTTAAAAAAATCATCACTTAAACAATATCCATTTTACGCGCGGTCAATGATGGTTTGCAATCGATGAAATAGCGTCATGGCAATATCCATGTATCATTAACCTACCTTAGCAATGGTAAACAAGACCGATTGCAGCATAGCCACATAGATACCGAAGGTAGGTAATCTAGATTGATTAAAATGGTTCTCAGCATAATTCAATTTAATGGCTATTATTATACTAGTCGGTACAGCTACGCGACATTAGGGGTACTATTCCACTCAAAATTCAGCCAATAATTTAGATCTATAAGCCTTATAGCTATTTCTCTAATGGTTATTATTATAAAAATAGATACATTCCATTTAAAATCCAGTCAACACTTGGACCTGTATGCTTTATAGCTACGGTAGCTGCGGTATCTATTTTCCCGAGATAGAATACTAGTGGTAGTTTATCGTAACAACTCATTCTACTTTATACCTAGAATGACTAAAAATGTAAGTCTAAAAGACTTTTACTACATCATCGGGAATATCTTGGGGAAGGTTGAAAATGAAAGGATTTAAAATGTTCCCATTTACAGTGATATTATCGTAAAAATAGTAATAAAAGCTGACGTTAACATTGTCGACCAATTTGGTATGGATTAAAACAAATTATAGTAGTGTTATTATAGAATGGAAGACTCAAGCTATGCAATCAAGTAGGATCAAATATCTTACCTTTTAAGATAGACTATTAGATTGCACCAAGTTAGGCAAACATTGATGCTGCCTATAGCCCACTGAGTAACGTCAGGATCTCCTCCAGGTGGAACAGAAAACGTGATGGCGGTTATGTACATAAATAATTCAATATAATTGGAATAGGATAGGAAGTAGGATAACCTCTGCCAAGAAAAGAAAAGAGAAGACAATCAGTAACAACATTTTTCGATATATTGTCGTTTACTGCAGAAAAACCTAATCGATAGCATTAAACTGGATGTGAGAGCACTGGTAAAGTGATGGTCGATAAATTACTTTTAAAGA